ATTAAATAAATATTTTATATGTTTATATTTGAATACACATATTTGAATTTATTAACATCATAAGTTCTTAAAATAATAATGATATTTCCTTTTGGGATAATGTTATATTTTGATTATTCGTTTATTTCATAGACTTTCATAGACATCACTATTATACAAATATTAAAATTCAAAACAAATTAACATAAGATACGATATATATACATAAATATATATAAATTTTATGATTTACATCTTTTATTTAAAAATATGATTTTCAATATTTAACGATTTATCATTTTTTACATATAAATTCAAAATGTGTAAAAATATACAAGAAAATATATGAAGAGAAAAAAGAAAATATAAAAAATACTATATTTATTATAAAAAAAATATATTACTAAAAAATATTTAAAAAACTATTAAATTATCTGATTGAATAAATATTTCTTCGATTTTATAATAAACTTCTTACTTCATTGAAAACACATAATACTTCCGCCATCTTAGTGGGAAAAACATACTGAAGTCATACTGAAAAATAGAACAAATATAATCTAAATATCGTTATATTGAATTGTTACCATTTTTAATATTTTTATGAATAAATATTTTTCATTAATATTTCTATTTTTTTATGTATAATAAAGAAATCATATTTATACATAATTAATTCTATAAATTCATAATATGAAACAAATTGATTAAATTCATTTTATTTATTAAATTTATTTATACTATTTCATTTCGAAAATCATATTTGATATATTTTATAATTAAATATTTTAAGAAATTAGAAAACTTTTCATTATATCATGTTTAAAAATGATTTCAATAATATTTTTCATAAAATACATATAAAAATCAAATTTCATAAAAATCATAATCTTTTTTTTTTTAGTTCTATTTTATAAAATATATAAAATATATAATATATAAAGAAATTGTAAAATTCATTTACTTTTCTAATGAAACAAAACACATTTAAACTTTCTGAACATCTATAATGTTTTCTTACTTTTATGACTTCCTTTTCATATTCAGATATACTTGTAAATATTGTAAATATGTTAAATGATACTTTAGCAAATACTATAATAAATGGGCAATTAACTTACAAACATTATGCTAGTTGAATATACATACCCTATAATACAGCAGAAAAAAGAATCCAACAATATCACAATGAAATGCAGAACAGTACATTAATAATTCAGGTACTTGAAATATTTCAGCCTGAAAATGATTATTATACTTTGTAGAATCTTTTCCTGAAAACAACTTTTTTTTAGAATTAATTCCAAAATGAATAATTTTGTATTTTTGCCTTGAAAAGGACGGTTTTAAATTTTTGTCCTGAAAAGGACAGATTTCTTGTGCATGTTTAGTCCATCCGAGAAATTGCTACTCCATACATGAGGCATTTGCGGGCCCTGAGAAGGGCCCTAAAGAAAAAAAAAAAGGATAGTAAAGTGAAAATGTGGACGGGATATGAGCAACATGTAAAATATAGTATAAGACAGGAACAGGGATAATATTATCATCAAAAAATGTTTACGAATAAAGCTGAATGCTTTTTTGTGACATACATTTTCGGCCAGTAGTTTTCATTATTATGAAAAGGAAAGGATGGTGAAAGCGTAATATTAAGGAAAAAGAAATAAAAAAGAATAAGTAGAAAAAAGACAGGATGCCAAAAAACATTAAAAATTTTCTCTCGTTGCTCTATTTCTTCTTCTTCTTCTTCTTCTTCTTCTTTTAGTTTTTCCTTGAAAGGAGCAGATTCATTTACACGCTAGATGATTATGAAAAAAACTTTAATTATGACGTGTTTATATACACGTATATATATGTCTTTTGAAAAATGGTAAATGGTGTACAATTATTGAAAAAATTTTCAGGCGTTTGGTCATCAATTTTCTTTCTCACTTTCTGAATATTATTTCTTTTTCATTCAGTTTCTTGAAGGTTTTCGCACTCCTGCGTTTACTTCCATTAATATATGCCGTGACATACAGATAGCAACGATGATAGTAATAAACATGTGCGTCCAGTGTTTATTCAATTTGAATTTTGCACACGTGACTCACAAATTTTTTTTTTAAGATTAAATTTCTTAGTCTGCTTCTTTCGTTTTTTTATTCCTTATGTACATACGTGTGTATATATGAATTATGTATGTATGTATGTATGTGTATGCGCGTGTGTATAGTTGTGCTGTACTGAAATATTTTTCAATGAAGTCAAGTCTGACTTTTATTTCACGAATCGCCTCAAAAATTTATTTTTATCATGCTACAAAAAAAGATCCTCGCAATCCTTGTCTTTATATATATGAAAGAAGATCCAAGAATCTTCTCTTTTTTCTTTTCATCTAAGTTTTCTGCTCGATTCATTTTTGAGCTATCTCGGCGATTATTGCACACCAATATTTTTTAAAGCCATATTTACTTTCTCTCCCGATACCATGTTTCCTTACTATTCCTAAATCCCTTTATTAAGCTTCTCCATTGTTGATATTTCCTTATTTTTATTTTCAATCATCCTTCCCACTCGTGCTTTCTCACACACACTCCACTGGTTTTATATATTGATTTTTTTTTTGGTGCTTTTTGTTCTCAAAAAGACATTTTTTCTGATGGTTTTTTAGAAATCCTCTCATCACATCCGCTCCAACCTCGCTCAGAGGTTCTTACTTCTTCATTACCAATCACTCTCACTTTGAAAGACATATTATATATTTCCTCCTTTACTCGTATTAAATCTTCCATTCCGCGGTGCTGCCATTTTACTCTGTTTCATCTTTTAATTTTATTATCGCCGACAATTGCTTCTTTGCATCTTTTTCGTGTTTCTTCATCCTCTTCTCCTCTTCCATTGGTCACGCGCTTATTATAATTTCTTCGAAAAAAAACGCGTGTATACGTACTCGAATAACAGTACCAAAATTACGATATATAAACAATTACGCTTTAGGTACGACTTGGATATATTATCCTTCGCCATATTATTTCTCCAAGTACTTGCTCTTTTTCTCAGTTACGTTCCTTTTCCGGAGGATCATCATCATCGCCGTTCAAGATAATCATCTCGCTACGCCGCAGTTGTTCATCGCTCTAGCGATGGAAACTTCGAGAAGTTTCCTTTTTTTTTTTTTTTCAATAGAAGAAAAAACGGCAAAAAATAATTGTTCCTCTGTCGAACTTCGTATTGTGTGGACGATTATTAAATTATTTATTATATCATCGAAAAAATTTCGAGTCTTTTCCTTATTTACACGAGACAACATATTATGTCCCGTCTATGTATAACTTCCATTTGATTTCTTCTTTCTTTACCACACACAGTCCTAAGTCCACGTCGAACGCGCAAACACGAGACGATTGTTTCGCCAAGAAAACAACGGGATGCGCGTTGAAAGGTGGCCAATCGATAATCATAATCCATTCTCGTCGATCGCGCCATCGTTAGCTCTCCCGTTATCCCCTTGACTCGGTTTCTTATTCTTCCTCGCTTCTTCTTGGTCCTCTCTTCATTTCCTCTATACTTTGATTCCATTCGAAGAAATTAAAATTCGACGGGAATTGCGTCCAGTCGAAATTCTCTCTCCTCTTCGATATATGTACTGTACATATATCTTTAGTAAAAATAATTTATTGGTGAATAATGCACGCGCAATTTAATATGATCTCGAAAGATCATTTTGTTATGAACCGGAATGTACATACTTTTTCTCGGTATGCATATTTCTTTTTTTTTTATTTTTTTATTTTTTTTTTTTATTTTTTTTTTTTTTAATATGAAAGTGACCAA